AAACCAATTGTGGAATTGCACGCATTTTAGGCATCCTACTGATGAACAGTTGCGACACGTAGATATATATATTTTAGCAACTAAGATAATTTGCAGTCTGTCTACTTTGAATGTTAATAGCCTTAGTCTCTATTTTATATTTTGCACGCATTGTCCCGCCTCGAATAGCCTTGCTAGCTGCGGGCAATACTTCTGTAAGTTTATTTGCTTATTAATAAAGTTTTGTTGTTCTTGTTGTTGTTGTTGTTGTTGTTATTGATAATTGCAGAGCTCAGTGACAGGCACAGACAGTCACCCATTGTCCTGGGTGGGGAAGATCAAAGTCTTGGTACGAAGGACACACTTAGCATAGGACCTGTAGACTCTCACTGAAGCCATGTTTACATAAATTCTGTTAAACTTCCCTTCAGTTTTCTTGTGCATTAATTATTGACTGTGTGATTTGACTGGTGGATTGATTTTTGGTGCACTCTCGATCCTCCTTTCTCCCTCTATATGTTAATTTGTTTTCTTATTCAGTTTAAAGGTGTTGACCAAATTACTTCGGAATTATGCTACTTTTGAAAGGCATCTGTTCAACCGAAGTGCCCCATAGAGAGAGGAGTATTTACTAGCCTTAATGATCTAGAATTTTAGGTCTGATTTGACAGATCTATTTGGATGTTTTTACCAAGAAAAGATGTCTTTACTTACAATAGTTTGGATTAATGCAGATTTTTAGCATAGAAATTAATTGCTGTGAACCCAGATTAGGGTCTTTTAGTAAGAGGTGCATGTAAGCTTATAGGGGGTGTCGGTTAACAGGGGTTCTGTACAGTACCTGATGCAAATTGGGATTTTTTCCCCTGCTCAAGTTCTGTGCAAGCTAAATGTCATACATGTTAACGCTACCATTTACAACAGTAGTTTAAGAACATGAGCGATGTTCAAAGTACTAAAAGTTTAAAAATATTACTTTGTCTAACGATGTAAATTATAATAATTATTTAATCATTACTATTACCTTACTATTGTATCAATTTATTACAATATGATAGTCATTGCTATTAGTGGCTTTTCCCCACCCCCCTTTCCTACCACCACTGTAGCCATGTTTCTCGACCCAAAATTGGTCAAGTGGAAATCAGGTGGAAATGTGAAGATTTTATTGAACACCAGTTGCAGCATCCAGGGTGTACGTTTTCTATCCTCCGATGACTCAAGAAGCACCATGAAGCAGGATTGTTGTAGCCTTTGTTTAACAACTGCCTACTTATGCATACCCGGCCAACTGTCGATTGCAGACTCTTTGGACACTGTTAAGATCTCAAAGAGGTTTGCTTGTGCCAACGAACTAAGCAAATGACATTTTGAGAAACTGGAGTAGGGCTATGGTCAACCACCCACTTTGGATATAACAGTGGCGGATCTAGGGGAAGAGCCTGGGGGTCCCGGGCCCCCCTCTTATTTTTAGACCAAACTGAGGCCCAAAGGGCAGAAATTTTATTTTTTGGAGACTGCCCCCCCCCTATCTCGGGGTCTGGATGACCGGATCCGCCACTGTATAATAATATAGCTACTACTCACCTGTGCCTCCAAAGCCTTTGCTTGCCTTGAAGTCCTTGTAGCAGGAATATTTTACGGTATTTCGAGTCTCAAAATCTTTGATTAGCTTTGTGCTTCTTCAGTGGATGAAACAGAATATAAATTATCAGACAACTTAGAGTGAGCTTTGGCTTTCCGTTGTTTAATACTGGTATACTTAGCTTTCTTTTGCTGTCTTTCTTTTTCTACTAGTTTTTTTTTTTTTTTGGTGAATGTTTTGTGTAGCTGTGTGAGGTGTGCGGTACCTGACCCTTAAATATAATCGTTTATTAATAACCTAAGTAAGGCTTCCCTATCTTTTCAGCCCTCAATGGTTATTATGGGCAGCCTGTACTCTCTCTATATTTTCATCTAATTTTTATGTATGATTCATGTAAATCAATGTAGGGTTCAGCTGGGTACAAATAAAGTTGTTTTGTTGCAAGCATTCATTATTATTTGACAGAGACAGACTTTACACACATGGATCATTCTCTATTATATATTCCTGCCAATATTTGAAAAAGTTGTTAAATGAGGCAGCGGTTCATATGAGTTTTATTTGCTTGTTCTTCATGAATGCCACATCCCTTGAATGAGATGTTACTCAGTAACATCCGCTGAAAGGACCTTCTTAAAGCGCTAAGAGGCTTGATCGAGGCGAAACATTAAAACACCCTTTCCAAACAAATGCAGCGGTATCTTCTTGGTTGAATCAATCGAGGGATGATTGAACAAGCAAGACAAGACATCGAAACAAACATCAGATCATCAGACAAATCAGAGTGGACGATCGTAGCGAAGCTTACATGAGTCACAGGGGGAACCACGAGGCGAGCGTGACGTCATGCGTTTACGAAATCCGACCGAAGATGAGAGGGCCTTTCGACGGATGTTAACGATGCATGTAAATCACATTACACTCTTCCCTCGTAACGTGAGTTTGGGTGGCCTGTAGAATATATTACTTTTTTCCGATCAAGATGGAAGTTGGCATCTTTGTCGTCGAGTAAGGTAATACATTTCAATTTCCATTATTGTGGTTAAGTTTAAAAGCTCTGGTTTTGACAAAGGAACTGGAGGAAAATCAGGAAAATTTCAGTTCGACTGTGAAGGTTGCATTTTGTTTACGCGTAGTTGCATTTTTATAAATATATCAAATTCATTTTCCTTTTCCTCATGCAATCTGCCTTTTTATACTGTTTTTCGCAGCAAAGCTTTCGCTAGTATTACAGAAGCTAATTTTAGTATACAGATCATTCAGACTTAGTGACAAAAAATCTATTATCGATTGTAATTTTGGCAACGCCTGAGTATTCGGTGTGAATATTATTGACGAAGTCGCTGTAACACTCTTCCATTCATTACTTTTGTTTCTGCTCCATTAAATTTGCCCATTTTTTTTTATTAACGTATTCGATTTAACTACAAACAATGAGTATTCAGGCAGAGTGGCAAGCTTCAATGCGATGTGGCAAGAGAGATATACGCCTTTGAATTCCTGTTTATTTTGCGGGTGTAAAAAATTCAAAAATTATACCCACCAAAAGTATAATCGGTCGCTGCGAAAACGTTATCAATTTCAAAGTAGTTTCTAAAAATGCGATAAAGAGTGATAGTTCTTTCAATGTGTATCGGCAAAGGAAGATTAGCTTCGAAGACAGGGTTGTAGCACTAGTCGAAGGCTCAAAAACAGCTTCTATTAACTAATATGGCTCCGGTCCGAGGCACCCAGAAACCCGCCATGTCGATAATTTCCGGAATACTGGGAATTAGAACCTGACGTTACCTATTCCTTATTAAAGACCCCAAATCAAGTCATATCAAGGTTTCATGCCAATTTTTAGCCGATTCGGTGAGATAGTGTGGTAGCGACTTTTCAATATAGTTCGAATCTTAAAGACAACTGCTCTTAACTTTTTGTGACAAATGGCCCAGCAAAGTATCAAGTGAAACAGGATTGCGTGAAATAGCTCACGGCGAAATGTCAAAACGGTGTAGCATAACGACAAATAGTGAATAGGATTAGACAAATGGTTTAACCTAACGTACATTAAATAGTCCAGGCCTACTGTGAATAGCTGAAAGCAACATATATGCAATGCAACGGGTTTAGCTTGATATGAGCAGGCGCATTTACGTGACGTGCATTTTTTTACGTTACGGGCAATTTTTTGCCAGGGGGCGGTAAACCATTTGCCTAAGTTGCCCAAATTTCTACGAAACAGTCCGAAAGAAACGAGGGTCATACGATGCAACAACAAAGGCATATGAGCTTATAAAACACGCGTTAAAAGAACTAGCTGTCTTTGCCATTTTGACGGCCAAAGATATCAATGATACGATCCGTGTCATTGTTGACTACAGAGTTGACATATGCCCTTTCAATGTTAATATTAGGGACTGTGCAATAATTATCAGGAGGCGGGGGGCTGAAAAACTAGAGTTGTCTAGCAAAAACTTAGACAGTACCCCCCCTTCAAAACAAAAAAAATTAGTTCTTGAAGTGCTCTCCGAGAAGACACAACATACACTCAAGATGGCGGATGCAAATAAACACACTTTATTCCAGTAGGCATGCGCTAAATATAACCGCTGACCTGATGCTACATCCCCCCTTTTTTTAAGAAACAAAGAAAACTGAAATTACTGAATTTAACAAACAAACCGTAACAATAAAAAAAAGGAAACAAAAAAAGAAACACGAGACAATGCTGCAACGAGAGCAATGTGTCCTTTCCTGAAAACTGAAAACAGAAAGCTTAAATGAAAAGCTGCAAAGTGTCTGCTTTGTATCTAATACTTAACATAGTCCTTAAATCTCTGCGGTTCCCTAATTGTCCGACCAGACCGCGTGGTAGTAGCCGTAGACATTCCGGCTGGCGGTGTTACAGGATTCTCGTTGGCCACTCTAACAGAGGACGGCTCAACTTCGGTGTCTTTCAGGTCCTCATCATTCAAGACTTCCGGTGTAGGGGTGATTTCCGGGATATGAGACTCTCCAGTTCTTAATAAATGTCGACGGTTTCTTCGGTACTCTCCACGCTCTGTTTCAACCTTATAAGATCTGGGTGAGGGAAGAACCTGTGTAACTCTAGCAAGTTTCCACTTGTTGCCTTCTCTAACTCTTACAACCTCACCATCCCTCAAAGGGGGCAGTTCCTTTGCTTTTCTGTTAGCTGCAGCTTCTGCTTTCTCTGCCTTTCTTGTAACTTAGGGAGGACATCTTCAGGGTCATAGAGTTGAGGTTTCAACAAATCCTCAGTCGCTGGATTTGAGGTTCGCAAACGTCTGCCCATTAGCATTTGTGAGGGTGACAGATTAACTTCCTCCAGGGGTTTATTTCGGTAAGAAAGGAGAGCTTTGTATGGGTCACCAGCTTTCTCCAGTATTGCTTTAACGGTCTAGACGGTTCTCTCTGACTGGCCATTGGATTGTGGGTAGCCAGGACTTGAAGTGATGTGTTCAAAACCCCAGTCTTCTGAAAACTTCCTGCAGAGTTGTAACAGGGGCCATTGTCAAAAACGACAACTGAAGGGACTCCTTATCTCGCGAACTGTGATTTAAGAGCTGTAATTACTCCGGTGCTTGTCATTGACGGGAGCAAAGTCATTTCTGGCCACTTGGAGTAATAATCGAGAGTAACGAGGTAGTTCCGACCATTCTTGTGCAGAATATCTGTGCCAACCTTAGCCCAAGGCAATGGTGGAATCTCGTGCGACTTCAATGGTTCAGGCTGATGACTTGGTCGATTTTCTAGACATACAGGACAGTTTTTAATCTTCTCGGTTATCTCCACACTCATCCTGGGCCAGAACAATACGTCCCGCGCTCTCGCTATTGTCTTGTTGATACCCAGGTGTCCCTCATGCAGTTTCTCAAGCATCTCTCCTCTCAAGCTACTTGGTACAACAATCTTTTGTCCCCTAACGATCAGTCCCTGGGCTACTGTTAATTCATCACGGTAATTCCGAAACTCCTGTGCATTGGGTGGGACTTGAACTTTGGAATCTGGCCAACCCGTCAAAATAACTTGTTGCAGGTCAGACAAAATCGCATCTTCCTTAGTTGCCTCAGCGAAACGGGCCAACTGGTGGTCAGAGATAACATCCTCTACTAAGTTTACGTTCAATTGCTCAGCATTCGTCAGCTGTTCCTCCAAATGGGCTCGAGACAAAGTATCCGCTAAATGTAGGCTGTCTCCACGCTTGTATACCACATTGATTCCTGGAAAGCGCTGGAGTTGGACCAACATCCGTTGCAGCCGTAAGCGTGTAAGGGCTTCTTCATAATTGCCTCCAAAGGTTTATGAACAACAACAACAACAACACTTTATTCACATTTCCATTGCAGGGTTTGTCAAACTTATTGAATAATTAGTAACTTAACACGTAGACTATTCAATTACAATTTAAACTAAATATTATTACATAGAAGGAAATGCCTAGCGGCTAGATAACCGTAAGGTTTTCGAGCTAGCAACTAGTTCTTTGAAAGTAGTGTCGAATGTACAGGACATCACAATAACTAGATCTGATTCAACCGTGACATCACGACCCACGATGTACTCTGCAAATTTGGCACAGCCAAATACTACTGCCAAAAGTTCCTTTTCAATTTGGGCATACCTTTCTTGAGTGGGCGTAAGTGCCTTTGAGGCATAAGCTATTGGTCGGTCTTCCTGAATCAATGCTGCACCCAGCCCAGTTGAACTGGCATCAACTTGTAGTGTCAGGGATTTCTTTGCATCATAATATCCTAAAATAGGGGCGCGGACAAGCGATTCCTTGATTGCTTTAAAACTAGCTTCTTGCTGTTCTTCCCAGTGCCACTCAACATCTTGGTGTAGTAACTGTCTTAATGGTGCAGTAAGGTCAGACATGTTGGGGATGAATTTACTGACATAGTTGATCATCCCCAACAATCTTTGTACACCAGATTAGTCTGTTGGCCTTGGCATTTCAACTATGGCTCTGACCTTCTCTGGGTCTGTCTTCAAACCGTCATGGGAGAACAAGTGGCCATGGAACTTCACCTCTTCCTGTTGTATATGGCACTTTGACTTCTTCAATCTGAGATTGTTATCTTTGGCACGCTGCAGAACAGCCCTCAACCGTGTATCATGTTCCGGCCCAGTTCGACCATGTATGATTATGTCATCCATGATGACTTTCACCCGGCAGTCCTTCAAAGACTTGGTCCATTCTTTGTTGGTAAACTTCTGGAGCAGACTTAATCCCTATCGGCATCCTCAGGTATCTATACCTCCCGAAGAGGGTATTCAATGTCAGGAGCTTGCTACTCTCCTCGTCTAACTGGATCTGGTAGAATGCTTTTTCTGCATCCAAAGTTGAAAATAGTGTGGCTCCTGAACAACTAGTTGTGATGTCATCTACCACTGGCAAAGGGTAGTGTTCTCTTTTCATGGCAACATTAAGATCTTTAGGATCTAAGCATACACGAATAGACCCATCCGGTTTATCAACATAAACAAGGCTGCTTACCCAATCGGCAGGTTCATTCAAGGGAACTTTCTCTACAATGTCAACATTCTCCATCCGATCTAACTCTTTCTTCAGTGGGACTCGCTTGGAGTGAGGAACTCGTCTGGGTGGGCGGACCACAGGAGGAACAGAGGCGTCAACACTAATGTGATATTTCCCTGGGAGGCACCCAAGTCCTTGGGATACTTCAGGGAACTCATCAAGAATACTGACACTTTCAATAGCATTTATGGGCGGGATTAGGCCCATACTCTCACAGGATGATCTACCCAGGAGGGGCATGTAATTTCCATCAACCACTTGAAAACATACTTGATACCTTTCCCCACGCACCCAACAAGGCAACTCACACTTTCGAACAGGTCTAATACAAGTTTTGGAGTAACTTTCTAATCTTGCCGAGGAAGGTTGCAAAGGGTTTGTTGTAATTTTGTCATATGCGGCTTTGGGCAAGACATTGCACTGGGCCGCAGTATCTAGTTTAACCACTTCTTGAACAGTTCCAAAATTGACAGTTTCAACCCAGTCTTTGTCTCCTGCATTGACTGCTCCAATGAACATAACTTCAGAGTCAGAGTCGCAATCATCAACAGTGTTTACCTGTTTCTTTTGTCTATCTGGGGTACGACACATCCTTGAAAAATGGTTCATTTTCTGGCACTTGTGGCGGCATCGCCCAGCAGCAGGACATGAATCTCGGGCATGTCGAATACCACAACTCCTACGGGGCATTCCCCATTGAGGCTTCTGTCCTTTGTCGTCTACTACATCCCCTTTCTCAACTTTGCTACCCTCTTCTTTTATGCTCTTCATGTGCTGCTTACTTGTTTCGGCGATGCGAGCTGCTTGCAATGTTTTCTCTAAACTCTGTTCTCTCTCCATCAACCTTTCTTTGGAAGAAGGATCCTTAAGCCCCAGGACTAACATCGAGGTCACTGTTCTTAGCTAGTGTTTTCAATGCGCTACAGAATTCATCGACTGTCTCTCCGTCTTGCTGTTTCCGTTCGATAAACAAATAACGCTTGAAGTGCCTCCAGGTCAGTGGTGCACAATGAGCTTTGAACTTTCCCTCGACGGTCTCAATTTTATCCCGATCATCTTCGGAATCCGACACAAAATTTGAAAAAATTTCCACACATTCCTTGCCAAGCACGTGGAGCAACGTAGCGACTTGAATCTTCTCATCCTTTTGATCGAGTCCGTTCGCAACTTTGTACAGGCCCCATGACATTTTCCAACGCCGCCATGCTTCGGCTTTATTCGTCGCTGTAGACAATATCAGAGCTTCAGGCGGTTTCAGGTGCTCCATCCCACTTCTCACACCATGAAGTGTTCTCCGAGAAGACACAACATACACTCAAGATGGCGGATGCAAATGAACACACTTTATTCCAGTAGGCATGCGCTAAATATAACCGCTGACCTGATGCTACAGTGCTAACCCCCCTCTGTTATGTTAAAAATAACGTCGCACCCCCCCTTTTTTCACATCAAAAACCGACAAAGCTTGTCTACGAGATCTGTTTTATTCCCATTGTTTTATGGGGGAATCTGAAAAACAAGTTCATGATTTTTGCTTTAAATAGGATCAGCTCAATTAATTAGAAGACGGGTTAAAATTGATCAGTTGTGAATTTGCTTTTCATTTTTATGGGATATTTTCAAAAATCGTTTAACAGCTGTTCGTATTGATACTTGTTACAGTCTATCATGATGCCTGTATTGAGAATCTTTTATTGCGTTTAATTTTATTTACATTTCGACTAAAACTTAAGGCCCCCCCTCCGTCAAATGAGTGATTTTACTTTGAGCCCCCCTATCTTGGCAGCAATTTTATGTAATGCCCCCCCCTCTAGTTTTTCAGTCCCCCCTCCAGATAATTCTTGCACAGTCCCTAAGTGTGATGTTTCGTTGTTGCCACATGGTGCTGCGCAGGCACGTTTTCAATTTGCGCAACGCATTGAATGATCGTTCTGCACAATGTAGCAGGTATCACTCCAAGGATATGTAACACATTACAAAACACTGGAAACGTATGAAATAGATCATTCTCGTGCACTGTCTCCAGCATTTCTGAAACAGTCATGTAGCCAAATCCGTGCTCACGACGAAAACTCGCCCATATTTTCTGCTCGGCTTCGAGAATCTCGCCGTCGAGACCAGCTAGCTAGTGTCCTTGTGAAGGACGTAGGGAAAGACCGAAATTAATTCGCAATTTCAGAACAGCAGCTTTGTTTCTTCAAGGTATTGAGAGCCCCATTTCATAAACTGCCTAATACAGTCATCAAAAGATATGGACTGGCGGTTCGCCGAAAATTTTGAATTCACCGTGAAATCAGTGCAACTAGTGTTAAGAGGTACTGTACAGTACCGCAAATGATCCCGAGACCGCAAATGATCCCCAAAATGGACCGCAAATGATCCGCGACCGCAAGTGATCCCCAAAGCTGACCGCAAATGATCCCGTGAAAAGTTGAGGAATGGAATGGATTTTATGGGACTGATTACAAAAAAGGACTGATTATAAAAAAAGGAACCTTTTTCTCTCGCCTTCTAAAGAAAAAGGGAAGGAGGACGCTACATCTCAGGTCAATTTATACGAGGCGAAAAAAAAAGTAGAATAAATCTGAAAAGGAAATGGTATCAACCGTATACTTCTTCCTTTGTCAATTGCTTCAATTTTCTTTCAAGAACTGTTTCGTCGCTGAAAATTTAAGACAGGCAGGACGTTACGCAGAAAAAACTCTATTATTTTAACGCCCAAGCTCAACTTGTCTACTGAGGAATACAAAGCCGGGCACCCTCTACATAACAAGAGCTTTATTGACTTTACTGATCCTTTTAGAAGCGTCGAATTAATTTTCAGATATTTAGTTTTGATTTTTCTCTGAAGTGTTAATTTCACGTGATAAACAGCAGGACATTGGTTCTTA